GTCGAGAAAGTGCCACGCCTGCTGTGCCTGGGCGACCGTCGTGCATAGCTGTCGAGCTCAGGGACCACCCCCTGCGCACCCCCTCTGGTGTCGAGAAATTGCCACGCCTGCTGTGCCTGGGCGACCGTCGTGCATAGCGGCCGCGGTCAGTCGAGAAATTGCCACGCCTGCTGTGCCTGGGCGACCGTCGTGCATAGCGGCCGCGGTCAGGGACCACCCCCTGCGCACCCCCATGGTGTCGAGAAAGTGCCACGCCTGCTGTGCCTGGACGACCGTGGTGCATAGCGGCCGAGCTCAGGGACCACACTCTGCGCACCCCCTGTGGTGTCGAGAAAGTGCCACGCCTGCTGTGCCTGGACAGCCGTCGTGCATAGCGGCCGAGCTCAGGGACCACCCCCTGCGCACCCCCTGTGGTGTCGAGAAAGTGCCACCCCTGCCACGCTCTGCCGTGCCGTGCCCTGCGCGCCTGCCCAGTGTGCTATGCTGTGTTGAGCTGTGCTGCGATGTGCTGTGCTGTGCCGTGCCGTGCTGTGCTGCGGTGTGCTGTATTGTGCTATGCTGTGCTGTGCTGTGCAGGTGTGCTGTGCAAAACTGCCACGCCTGCTGTGCCGTGGACGACCCCTATGGCGTCGAGAATGTGCCGCACGTGCCAAGACGTGCTGTGTGTGCTGTGCTGTGCTGTGCTGTGCTGTGCTGTGCTGTGCTGTGCTGTGCTGTGCTGTGCTGTGCTGTGCTGTGCTGTGCTGTGCTGTGCTGTGCTGTGCTGTGCTGTGCTGTGTGCGCTGCGCTGTGATGTGCTGTGCTGTGCTGTGCTGTGCTGCGCTGCGCTGCGCTGCGCTGCGCTGTGCTGTGCTGTGTGCGTGAGGAGGAGGGGGAGGAGGAGGAGGGGAGGAGGGCGGGTGTGGGTGAGACGCGGGTGCGGCGCGGGTGGGAAGAAAACCATAACCCCACGAAGCATGTGGGGAACAAGAGTGACAAATAGACGGTCAGATCTGTCCCACATGCAGTAGTAATCGCGCTCCATTCAGGCATGCGTCGCCGAACGTGCCGGCCGCGTTGAGAAGGGGGAGACGACGCGCGGCGACCGCGCTGAATTTTGGGGCCACAAGATCAGAAGACATGGCCATTGCGCCGCCACGGCAGCCATCGGAATATTGCGCCCTTCCACGCTGCATGATGGATCCAACATCGGCGCAGCCGAAGACGTGGCCATGCGGGCTGCTGCCGCTACCGACGAGGTGCAATCAGGGATTGCTCATTCAGCGCGTTGGCCAACCATGAATCAGAGGTTGGGGGGTGAGATCGAAGTGGAATGGAGAGCCCCCCTACTGGGAAATCGATGTGGGTTTCGTGTTCGTGCGTGCCGCGCGCGCGGGCGAGGCGAAGCTGCGTGGGCGGGCGAGAGGACAGTTTCCTGTGGCTGAGCCTCGGCTGGACCAAATGACTCCCTTCCGGCAACCGGTGCCGCGTGGCGCCCCGCCGGTGTCCCGCTGTGGCTGAGGCGCGGTCGGACCACATGACTCCCTTCCGGCGTCTGGTGGCCCGCGTTGCCCCGCCGGTGTCCCGCCGGTGTCCCGTCGGTGTCCCGATGATGATGGTGATGATGATGACGACGATGATGATGATGGTGATGATGGTGGAGATGATGATGACGATGATGCTGATTGTGATGATGGTGATGATGGTAGTGATGGTGATGATGGTGATGATGGTGATGATGGTGATGATGGTGATGACGATGATGGTGATGATGGTGATGATGGTAATGCTGATGGTGGTGATGATGATGACGTTGATGATGATACTGATGTGGGTGTTGATGTTGATGATGGTGACGATGATGACGTCGATTGTGAGATCGATTGTGAGATCGATAGTGGGGTCGACAGTGAGACCGAATGAGAGATCGATTGTGAGATCGATAGTGAGACCGAATGTGAGATCGATCGTCAGATCGATTGTGAGATCGATCGAATGAGATCGATAGTGAGATCCGGTGTCCCGCAGGTGTCCCGTCGGTGTCCCGATGATGACGGTGATGATGATGATGACGACGATGATGATGATGATGGTGATGATGGTGATGATGGTGATGATGGTGATGATGGTGGTGATGGTGATGATGGTGATGATTGTGATGATGGTGACGATGGTGAAAATGATGGTGATGATGGTGTTGATGGTGATGAATTAATAATGGTGATGATGGTGGTGATAATGAGGAGGACGTTGAGGATGATAATGATGATGATTTAAATGTTGATGCTGATGTTGATGATGATAATGGTGATGACGTCGATTGTGAGATCGATTGTGAGATCGATAGTGAGAGCTATCGTGAGACCGAATGAGAGATCGATTGTGAGATCGATAGTGAGATCGATTGTGAGATCGATCGTCATGTCGATTGGGAGATCGATCGAATGAGATCGATAGTGAGACCGAATGTGAGATCGATTGTGAGATCGATTGTGAGATCGATCGTGAGATCGAGTGTGAGATCGATAGTCAGATCGATTGTGAGATCGATAATGAGATCGATAATGAGATCGATAGTGAGATCGATAGCGAGATTCATTGAGTGAGACGTTGGGTCCGCCCCCCGTCAACTCTCTTACCATTCAGGGATTTTGGCTCAAGGCTTCTGTTGCGTTCGGCACGCGGGGGGGCCGCGAACGCGCCCATTTCGTGCGCCAGGCTTTGCCAGCGCATCCGTATTCCCTGACCAGACGAGGCGCACTTTCGCCGGCTTTCCAGCCGCTCGCCCTGCTTCGGCTAGCGGTGCCTTCGGATGTCGGCGCGAGCTCGAAAGAGCAAGGATAAAAGAGGTACGATGGCGGTGCGTCGTCAGAACCACAATCACCACTGTTGCCCATTGCTGGGCCCCCCCCCAACCTCCTTCTCGCTCGCAGGGTGGTCCCAGAGGTACTGCCGAACCAGCGGATCACGCCATTGCGGGCCGTGCAGGCCCCGCCCTCGAGGGGGGCGGCGACCGATGATGCCAGCGCTACCGGCTCAGCCGGCGACGCAGCGCAGGCCCGGCCATGGGGCCCCACGGGGGCCGACAGCGCTGCTAGTGAGGCCATCGACCGACACAGTCGGTGACCAATCTGCTGATCCCCGTTCCTCTGCTGCGCCACTCCTCGCCTGCGCGCCGGCGGCCGCCCGTGGCCGCCGCCTCCGCGATGCGTCGCGGGGGCGGCGCGCCGCGCCGCCCCCGCTGCCGAATCCGCCGCGGGGCGGGGGCCGCGGGGCGACGCCCTCAGGCACGATGCCGCGCGCTGCCCCGCGCGGCGCGCCGAGGCGCGGAGACCGGGCAGGCGGCGGACAAATATCAGGAGGGGAAAAAACACACAGACACAATTAATCGTCGATCCCCAAGAAAATATGGGAAACTATGGGAATTGGGCGGGAATACAAAAACCCAGAAAATATGGGAAAATATGGGGAACCATTTTATTTGTGTGTATTTATTTGTGTGTCCCGGGGCCCCTTCAAAAGAGAGACTGACGAATAATGGTCAGACAAGCGTGAATCGATCAGGCAACCACGAAGGCCTTGCGCGGCTGCCCGCGCTGCAGATGGATGTGGCATCAAGCAGCACCATGCCGCCAAGAATAGAGGCCGCTGCGAATGGCACGAGGTCGAACAGACCTGGCAGCACTGGAGCGCGGCCGATTATGCTGTATATGTTCGTCGCATCTGATCAAGGACAAGCTTCCAGCGCCGTTTTTGACGGGGTCGAATTACATGCACTGCAAGATCGGGACAAAGTGCCCGTGCCGGAACAATCGCGCTCGCAGTTGATGCCAGGGGTTTATTTGTGGGATTATTCGGTTTATTTCGGCCCCCCTCAAGGGAGATCCCGCGACATCATAGGCCCCCCGCCCCTGGCGCTGTATTTTTCAATTTGGCGCCAAGGGGGGGGGCAAAGCGCTCGGGGCGCCGGGAACCTGAGGATCTCCCAGGGGGGTCAAAATGTCGGGCCTGCACATCCCGCCGCGGGGGGAGTTGTTGAACGTCTTCCACTACCTGCTTCCTGCCGCCGCCGTTTTTTCGCTGCGACGCTGCATTGCATTGCAACTCGCTTGGGATTAAGACGCCGTTTTGGTGCCCAGGAGCCTGGGTCGGCACTGCAGGGCGACCCCTCGCGCAAGCGTGAAGTTAAGAGTATTATCTCTTGCTCCTCGTGCACCCGCTACATGCCAGCTTAACGGATAGTTGAAGGCATGCCGATGCGACCCGCACTGAGCAGCGATGAGACCGAACCAGCACGATCACTGCACTCCACACTTGCCGGAAATAGCGTTCCTCTGGCAAACAATTCTCCTTCCCTCGCAGTCCCAGAGATAGACACCGACACCAATATCGGCGGTGTGCATCTACCGAGGGAAGAAAATCCCGATCTCGGTGATGGTGGTAATACTCTGGCTTCCAAGGTGGCCGAAATATTGCCACCAACGCGGAAATCTACGATCGTCTTCCCCATGTGGAGGCAGCCCCCCTGTGTTGGTGTTGGTGCCCGTTTCTAGGCCTCCAATTCCCCTCCCTCCCTCCTCGCCCCTCCCTTCCCCCCCATCCCCTCCCTTGCTGGGTGCTCCTGCCTTCGCCCCCCCTCCGTCCCTCTCCCCTCCCTTCCTCTTTCCTTCCCTCCCTCGCGCCCTCTCCCCGTTTCCCCCTCGCCTTTCACCCCTCATGCTCTCCTAACAATGGCCCTCATGCTGCCTTGGGTTCTTGAGTGAGACCACAAGGAGCATATAGGCATTTTCTCGCCACGTGAATAAGCATGTACGTTTCTTTTGTTTTTCGTGACCTGGAGGCAGTCCCATTACTGTTTGTTGGCACCTTCTGGCAATTCCTCATATTTTTCCCTTCCTCCTTTTATCAATATTCCCTGCGCCGTTTTCCCTCGTCCTCCCCGCACCCCCTCGTCCTCCTCTGCCTCCCTCTTTTCTGTTGATTTCCGGACCGTCCTCGCGAGCCGTGTCGGCCACGCACAGGAGTATATTTTCAAGCAGGACACGAAGTAGCATTACAATGGGGCCACCTTTGATTCATTCATCGGTGCCCCCTTTGCCAGCGAGGGGTATGCCGAGGGGGTGAGGGAGATGGAGGGGAAGAATATGGGGAGGGGGAGAAGGGAGACAAGGGATTGGCAAGCTAGGTGCGCTCGAGCCATATATGACATCCGACCCTTCCCACCCATCCGTTCTCACTGTGTTGATATTGTTTTTATCCGCCAGCGCGTGTTATAGCGGACTTGGAATTCAACAACAAACCTCATCGTGTTATGCGCAATCGGCAGAAAAGGGATCGGAGTACATTGGAGGAGGAGGAAAAGGAGGAGGAGGAAGTGGCAGATGATCGGGAAAATTAACAGGAGGAAAGGAGGAGGATTACGAAGAGGGGGGAGGACGAGGACGAAACACAGCAGCAGGAGCTGGAATCGAAAGGGCGGGAGGAGCAGGAAGACCAGGGGAGGGCAGAGGAGGGGACACGATGTGGGCGACAACGGTAAACATTGAGATCCGGAAAATAGTGGCCCGCGCTGAGGCGAGAACGCCATTCTGATCGATGGGAGCAACGCGCCGATCCTAAAATGAGGCCCGCGCTGCGGCAGCACCAGTTCTTCGAGACACCGAAAGCGTTCCGAATGTAAGCAAACATTGGAACGACACATTTTGAAACACTGCTGTCCAAAACAGTGCGCGGAGCGGGGCGGGCGACTCCCCAGCCATCTCCGGGGAAGGAGGGTAGTACTGATATTGACTTGCTGTGGAAGAGGAGGAGTGTGTGGAGGAGGGGGACGGGGCAACAGGATACTGATAATGGTTATGCTGGGTGATGCTGCCTATGATCCTCGCAATTGGATGGCACAAGCCTGTTTGCTCGCTGTGGGGTGTTCCTCACATGGGAGCCCCCGTTGTTGGGTGGCGGCCCTCCCAGAAACGCGACCGCCTGCTCTTGGATGTTCTATCTTGGACCGCCCTGCAAGTGGCCTTGACTAGATTCGTTCATCTGCACTTCGCGCAGGAACCACAACGCCTGCAGCAAACACAAATGGGGCGAAACACCAGGTGGCGTCCCAGCACCTGTGCCTTCCGAGTGCGATCCTGGCGGTCCTCGTCGAATTCAACAGACTCAGGTCCCGTCGGCTCGCACGGAGTCGGAGGAGGAGGAGAGGGACGCATCAGAGGCGGAGTAGGGATCGACTCGGCAACTGCACTCGGGGATATATTCGTGATGCTACTCTGTTCCGCGTCGGTTATCGGATTGACGGCATCTGACGACATGGCTGCTAATATGACGGCAATTTCTATTGCATCGCATACTATATGGTAGTTCTGCTTGCAGGCCTGCCGTTGCCAGGAAGGCTGCTCGCTCATGTGGGCCCTTTCCTGGTGTATTCGTCTGCGTACTTATTACGTCGGAAAAGCTGCTCGCCCATCTCAAGCCGCTGGCCCCGAGTGGCGTGTGCGCTGATTTTGACGATTTGGACGGTCCTGGGCCATAACCCGCAGAGGTTGACCGACAACTAAATTTCCCGCCATAAATCTGAATTGGCTCTCGCGGGCAAGAAGCGCCACTACTCTCCCCCCTCGGACCCATCTATAGCAGCTTGACAGTCAAACTGTATCTTGAGGGGCGGTATCGCGCACCTCAAAAGCTGAGCGGTCGCGCACAGAGCTCTGCTGGGAATATCGTCTGACGATTTTGTGGGAGGGGAAGGGGACCGAACGCATCAAACTCTGACATATATCCCGAGGGGTCGAGGGTGGCAAAATTCCACCCAGCTCGCCTTTTGGGTTCGTAGTTCCCGTTCAGCAGAAACATGTATGTGAACGCTTCTCCCGTTATTACTCAATGTTTGCCCTCCCAGCACACGTCGTACGACATTGGCACAATCACAGAATCTATGGATTCGGCTTGTGCTGGGGATTTTGTGTTTTGCGATATATGGGGCCAGCGGACAGCGACGACGACGAGGGCGACGAGGACGAGAATGGAGGAGGAAGAAGACGACGACGAGGGGGTGGAGGGCCAGCACCCCCATCCGTCCTATCTGCCCAAGCCAAGAGCAAGGGCTGAAAGAAGAAACGCACCGGAGTCACATTGGAGCCATATTGACGCAATCTTGGGGCCAACTAGGGTTCAGAGGGGTCCTCTTGGGGCAATCTCGAAGTCGTCTCGGGCTCATGGAGTCGTCCCGGGGCCACCTCGGAGTGAAATCGGGGCCACGCAGTAGCCTAATTCAGTCAGAAGGTTCGTCTCGGTGTTCTCGTGGGGCCGCAGGGTCGCCCTGGGGTCATAGTGTGGCCACTGCTTAGCAGGGGTTGGCATCTTAGGGCGACAGGGGTAATATTGTGATCCTCTGAGAGCCCCCTGGGGTCCATCTTGGGATCAGATTTGCGTTGTTGTATCTCTCGTTGCTGTTGCTACAGATGTTGCTGTTGCTGCTGGCGTTGGTGCTGCCTGGGCTGCCCGTGGTGCTGGTGCAGGTGCTGTGTGAAGATCCGGACCCTCTTGGAGCCATCTTAGGGCCCTCGCGGGGCCCTTCTGGGCCTCTTGGGGTCCTTCGGAGGCCTTCTGAGAGCCTCTAAGAAGCCTCCGAGAAGGCCAATCAGTCAACACATATTTAACACACACCGCCTTCTTCTTGGAGAGCGTCTTGTGTTAAATGTGTGTTAACATGTTGGGCCCTCTTGGAGCCATCTTGGGGCCCTCTTGGGGCCCTCCCGTGCCCTCTTGGGGGCCTGCGGGAGCCCTCTGAGGGCCCTGAGAGGCTTCCAAGAGGGCCAATGATTCAATGCAAACTTACGACGAACGGCCTTCTTATTGGAGAGCGTCTTGTGTTAAGCGGGTGATGAATTTCAGGCCCTCTTAGAAAGCCCCAAGCAGGCCCAAGAGAGACCCAAGAAGGCCCAAAGAGAGGGCCGTTTTTTAGCTTCCACGCGGGGGGATCACCAGGTTTCCGCTCTTTGTACACATGCTTCCTCTTGCGGGGCTCGGCTTGTGGTTCGGAGGGCCTTCAGGAAGATTGCAACTTAAGGTATCCAAAGACTTCGCGTGAGCTTCGAGTGCGATTGCGCTGCTCCAAGAAAGCTCCGAGACGGCCCCTGAGCGCTCCAAGGCGCTCACAATGGCTTCAAGACGGAACCTGCAGGCGCCCCCAGGGGGCTCCAAGAGGACCCCTTGGGGACTCCAAGAGTCCAAAACCACAGTTGTTCAAGTGTTTTTTTTGAAGGATTAAAGCGTTCTCGCTTTCACGGGGTTCCAACCCTCCAAGACGGCCCAAGAGGCCACACAAGGATCACCCAAAGACGGCCCAAGAGGCCCCCGAAGAGGGCCCCAAGACGACCCACGAGGGCACCAAGACGATCCATGAGGCCCACACTGCGGCCCGAGAGGCCCCGAGGACGGCCCCAAGATGGGACCCAGGGGGCCACCAGAACTCACGTTGTGAGATTTTGTCCATCAGGATGGCCTCTTGTGAAGCGGCGAGGGGGCATGGATTTAAACGAGGTTTAAGGAGAGGCTGTATAGCGAACGGTATATCCCACGTTGTCTTGGCTCAATATTTGTTCGTTGCGCCGCGGTGTGTGTGACTCTATTGGGATCATAGCATCGGACAAAGGCCACGTCCATCTATGATCCGCCCCTCTATCCCATGGTTTCTTTATTTCCTCTCGTCATACTTGCCATCAAAGAATGAGTTGTGGGATACCTCGATACGTCGCCTACGTTATCCTAAGAGCAGGGTTGTCAGATTATTACCTCGTGGTCAGGCCCTGTACCCTTACTTTTCACTTCGTAGCGGGGCTGGCTACATTTTCTTTTGGCTGGTTTTTGCATCCGGCGTTATGTACATAGCGTACATCGCAACCTACAAAGGCACATCGGAGTGCCCGAGTGCTCGTCGGCTCCCAGCCATACTCCCAATACTCTCGAACCAATTCGTAACCGACAGTCCTGTACCTCCATTTCTCCACCGCGTGGCCACGCGCCGCACACAACCCAAACGCCGATACCTATCCGCAAGCAGACGGCCACGTCAGACCAGGCACCCACTCGTAACCCAACGGGCGCGACAATATCCAATCATGAGCAACCTAACATCATCAGCTACAACATGAACACGCACTCTGTTGAGGTCGCCATATGTGGAACTATCCGGGTATGCCAGGGCTGTGCCGGTGCATACATGCGACGAGGAGGATTGATTAAACATGCAGTCGAGGGCCCTTCTAGGACCCCGCAGGCAACCTACCCTTTTGCGACTTTGTTCGCGAAATACACGCATGGCTCAACGTCGCACACGGAAACATGACTCCACCTCAACAGGCCGTTGCTTTACAGCGCGGTCTGGGAGGAAAGGCTAGGACACTAGCCATGGGGGTGCCATCCGCCATTATCAACTTTGGTGTTGCATTGCAGGTGAGACGCACCGATGGAGTCACATAGTGACTTTCACCAAGGGCTACAGGGGCCCTTCCTCCTCCTCCTCTTTCTCCTCCTCCTGTTCCTCCTCCTCCTCCTCCTCCTCCTTGTCCTCTCCTCCCCCTCCTCCTCCTCCTCCTTCTCCTCCTCCGCTTCTGCAAGACCTGGGAGTACGGCGAGAAGAACTGAAACACCCAGGAAAGTGGCAACACCCAGCTCGGCGATAAGAAAAGAAGGGCACCAGAGAAGAGCAGCCAGACAAAGCGAAGCCGCAGAAGCAGAAGGTGAGCCCCTTGACGCAGGGGAAATGAAGTCACCCCTTGACAAAGGGGGAAGAAAAGCAGCGAGAAGAGGAGCCAATCCACGAGAAGAGGACCCACGAGAGCTGAAAGTACAGGAACCTGATCACGACGGAAAAGCTGAAAAAGGGAAAAGATGGCCCCGTTCTTCCGCATGCTGAAAGAAGCTAAGGAAAGAACACTAAAGAAGCTCAACCAGGAAAGAAGAGGAGAAGAAGCGGAGGAGGACGAAAAGAGAGAAAATAACAAGGACACCTCGGAGCACCAGGTCCACAAGTGTTACCTGGCCTCTGAGGTGGCGGCGGCCCTTGACCCGCCCCAACCCCACCACGTGAGAAATGAACATGTTGAAAAAAATCCTCCTCCTCGTCTTCCTCCTTGCGTTTCTCCTCCTTCTCCTTTTCCTCCTCCTCCTCCTCTTCCTCCTCCTCCGCTTCTGCCTCCACCTCCGCCTCCTCCTCGTTCACCTCCTCCTCCTCCTCCTTATCCTTTTCCTCCTCTTCCTCCTCCTCCGCCTTATCCTCCTCCTCCTCCTCCTCCTCCTCGCCCTCCTCCTCCTCCTCCTCCTCCTCCTCCTCCTCCTCCTCTTCCTCCCGGCTCCCCTTTTCCTCCTTCCTCCTCCTCTTCCTCCTCCTCCTTCGCTTCCTCCTCCTCCTCCTCCCTCCTCCTCCTCCTCCTCCTCCTCCTCCTCCTCCTCCTCCCCCGCATCCTCCCTCCTCTGGTCTCCCCTTATCCTTCGTCCTCCTCCTCCTCCTCCTCCTCCTCCTCCTCCTCCTCCTCCTCCTCCTCCTCCTTCTCCTCCAAGGGGCCCCCAAGACTGCCCCAAAAAAGGCCCAAGAGCGCCCGCGAGCACACCAAGACGCGGTTCCGATGCAGCCCAACAGGTCGCCAAGACGGCTCAAGAGGCTTCCAAGAGGCCTCCCACGAGGGCCCCAAGCGGTCAACACCATTGATTGCCCGATGGTTTTCGCAGTTTGGGGGTCTCCAAGACGGCCCAAAGACGACCCAAGACGCCCATGCTCGTCCAGTGTCCGCTTCGCTTCTCTTCCTTCATCCTCCTCCGAGCCAGTTTTGGCTCAGTTGTTTTCTGTGGTTGCTGCTGCTGCTGCTGTTGCCTGCACTGCAACATGGAATGTCTCGCTTTTGATTGTGGGTCGAGGTGTCGTGCACAATGTGTCCTGGACTTCCGGCGCACCTTGCGACATCCAGCGGACGTTCCCGCTGGCGATGCGCGCCGCCGCCAGCCCCCCCCCCCAAGCTGGAGATCGGCAGCCTGGCGGCGGGCAGCAGGATTTGTTCGGCGCCAACGTGTATTTGCTCATGGCCAAACAGTTGCGGAAATGGAGCCCATCCATAGCAGCAGAGCGCGATGGGAACGCCGACCCCCTTACTACTTTCATTTCGTGGTTGGACGCGTTCGCCCAGAGCCTCAGCCAGGGGCGGCGCATGGAGCTGGCAGCGACGGTCCAAGCGGGGGGGGGGGCATTTTGAAGTTACAAGGCGAGGCCATTGCAGGGTCATGCCACCCGATGTTTCTGCTTCAGCGCCTGGCGTTTGCATTTCACTTGGGGAATTTTGCTGATGGTGGACGCGGCACCCCTCTTCGTCGGGTTATAACGAGAGCGATGTTGCGCGCCGCGCCTGAAAAAATTAGCCCTTTGATGAAATGCGATGTGGTTCTGTTTGGCCGAGCCCTTCGACCATTAGCAGGGCGAGGTTGTGCTTGGACGTTGCGTGGATGCTGCGCGTGTCAGACGTTCATACTAGCGCTGTCCAGCACAATGGTGCATTGTTCCCGGTGTTCGACTCCTCCCCGCAGGGCGGCAGGAACTGGTGCCTGATGGAGCACAGCCATCTGCGAAGTGATCGATTGGAGTGCATGCGCGCTTCAAGTTGCACAGCGAATGGGCCAGTTGGGAGATTGCGCCACATCGCCAGACGATTGGGCAGGGCAGATGCGACAATATCATATTGAGATCGAGGCCAACTTGCGGTTTGGGCGCTTGGCATTCCAGCGAAGTCCATAAAGTCCACGCGTTCCTTCATAGCTTCAGGTTGGAACACAAAGTTGGCGAAATGTTTAATGGCCCCCCTTGGTTGCACGTTCTGCATGGCTGTGGATGGCGGCCCAGAGAGCTTGCTCAACCGCTCCAGGGTTCGCGCCTCGTCGATGTTCCTTTTTGAGGCAGACCATCCAGTTCGAGGGCGACGGCTTAGACCGTGGGGGTGGCGCCGACGACGACGACGACGTCATCTTGTCGGGTCGCCGCATTGTCACGGCGCCAGGAACGCCTCGCATGGTCGAGCTGATCGAGCAGGGGCCGCTGGACCACTTGGAGGATCATCCCGAGGTCGAGCCCCATATCGAATCGGCTGCGCGCGCATTCCACCGCCGACATGCGCGCGGTTACTTCGCGGGGGTGCTCAGGGGCGATAGGATCTATTGGAAGCCTTTGCTCAAGGATGGGCCGCCCGTCTTTGAAGGCGGCAGGGTGCGGGGCGCCCCCGCGCAGATACCGACGCACTTCCGCGAGCGTCGCCATTTCTGCGCCATCGGCTGGGAACAGGATGCGCCGGCCCTTTGACACTTTCACTCGCCACAAAGGGAGGGGGGAGAGAGGGGGGGGGGGAAGAGAGGAGGAACAGAGGAGAGAGGAGAGAAAAGGAGGAGGAGGAGGAGGAGGAGGGAGGAGGAGGAGGAGGAACAAGAGGAGGAAAAAGAGGAGAAGAAGAGGAGGAGGAGGAGGAGGAGGAGGGGAGGAGGGGGGGGGGAGGAGGGGGGGGGGGAGGGGAGGAGGGGGAGGAGGAGGAAGAGGAGGAGGAGGAGGAGGAGGAGGAGGAGGAGGAGGAGGGAGGAGGGGGAGGGGGGATGAGGAAGGAGGAGGAGGAGGAGGAGGAGGAGGAGAGGAGGAGGAGGGAGGAGGAGGAGGCGGAGGCGGTGGCGGAGGACGAGGCGGAGGCGGAGGCGGAGGCGGAGGCGGAGGCGGAGGAGGAGGAGGAGGAGGAGGAGGAGGAGGAGGAGGAGGAGGAGGAGGAGGAGGAGGAGGAGGGGGGGGAAGGGGGGGGATGAGGAGGAGAAGGAGGAGGAGGAGGAGGAGGAGGAGGAGGAGGAGGAGGAGGAGGAGATTTTTTCACCAGGGTGATGCCTGCAAGCTCACTATCGCAGGGAAAGGGCTCAACCTTTACAGACGGGAGCTTTGGATGCTTCCCCCGACACAAATCTTTCCAGGTCTGAACCGCTCCATTGCTATGGGGGGCATCAAGGCAATCCTTTGAAATATTCCTGACTTGCCTTCCCGATATGTACGCATAGCACCTGCTGCACGCATATATAAGGGTGCCATCCGTGCTCGAAAAAAAACCACCAGCTTATGCTTATGACGGGTGACCTCCATGACCCTCTCAGGTGGGGAGCCACGGCAACCACGGAGGGGAGGCTTCTGCTCCTTCCGGCTGGAAGTCAAACGAACATGGTACCTCCAAAAATTGTTGCACCAAGACCACTCATGCTCAGGGCCCGGGGGCTTCTTCCGACCCGCCCCTGCAACACGAGGGATTCCATCCAAATTTAAACGTGGCCACTCGGGGAGCACGCGGGCGGCTAAACGAATCACTGCCCGAGCGACCGAAATCTGATACTGAATATTATCGGATACGGCCTGGCTCGGAGAGGGGTGTAGGTGGGCTCCCCTCTTAGCCGCCAGATCCGCTTCATCATTACCAGTTTTATAAAATAGTTCAGCGCCTGTGAGGCCCTCGCCGGAAGCATGCGCCTTGACTTTCTGGACACGAGAATACTTGGAATTAGCCATATTGAGCAGCGTGCCCGCATACAGCTTTTTGTAGCTAAGCTGAACACATACGGGTGCATTGAAACTCTTGACAACGTTCTCACAGTCAGAGAAACCTACACTTGGCCCACTCAAAAGCTCATTGGTGGCCCCGAGCCCGCAAAACTCACCCGCCTGGGAGGTTTGGGGGAGCCACCGCGGAACAGGGCCCTCAAGGGTGCACAAAAGATCCTCATTATCATCGTACACACTAGCCCCCCAGCCAGCACGACACAATTCAGGAATGGGGCTCTTTAGCCCTGAACCGTCAAAAAATACTTGGCCTTCGATGGCCGTAGCCTCAGAGAAGGGATCGCTTATCCACCTGACCACCATGCCACCTCCCATGGTAGGGGGAGGAACCACATCTCCAGGATGAGGGAAGAGCCCTGTCGAGAACAAGAGCCAGTCGGGATCATCAGGCCGCATTGCCACAGCACGTTCTATGATCGACGATTTTACCTCTTCTGATCTGACCTCGCTGACGGCAGGGCAGCACCACAACCGGTGGAAAATACTGTCTGGTCCGCCACACATCGGGCAGGAAACGTTGTCCAGCAGGTATCCTGCCTCCTGAGCGCGGGGGCCTGTCCAGATGGCGTTGCACGCAAAAGACCTGATGCAACCTTTCTGGAAAGCATTCCATGTTTTGGAGTTAAGCTCTTGAAGAAAGATATCCATGCAAACCCTGGACCCGTCTTCGAGACCATGGGACTTGGCAGACTGCCTCTGGAGCTGCCTCAAAACCCCTTCCCGGAGAAACTTTTTCACGAGTTTTGGGCTGGTGGTGGTTAAACCTATTTGAACTCCCTGGTCCGTCTGCAATACAGCGAAGCTCGGCATAGTCCAGCCAATGCGGTGAAGAGAAGCTCGTGCCGCAGAAAGAGGACCTGTCACCTTGCGCCAAGTGGTACCTCACCAGCGAAGGCTGATTCCCAAGCTCGTCGAAGTGTACTAAAAGGGACTGCATATTCATACTGCCTGGTCTGATTCAGCCAAACCTCCTTGGCCAACCTAAGAACAGGGGCTATGCGCGTAATAGCACGGGTCGTGCTCCAAGATCGTTAGGGATGTTAAATTTCTGGAACCAGCAGAGGGGTTCACGCATTTACTGAAACTTCTCCGTAAAGCTCTGAGCTCAGAATCTGAAGTACCGTGAATTTCTGAACCATACGTGGCCCCACAAAGCGGTCCCGAGATAAAGATTTTTCTGGAATGTGTTCCAAGAGCCTTCCGAGCTTTCTTGAAACGCCTGACCCTGGCCGCCAGGGTTTTCTTCCTACTCGAAACCTTCTTAGAACGATGTTTCATCCTGCGGGCATTGCCGGCTGTGTCATCGATGCCCAGGTTGACGGCGGCCTGAGAGGAGCCGTCGCCGCCGAAGACGCCGAGAAACTGAGTGAGCGACTTTCCCAATCGAGAGTTAGATGCAACCACTGCAGCTTTATCTTCAGCGACAGCGCAGCACATATCGAGCTGGACAGCCTGCATGACTACAGTGGTGAACTCCTTCAGTTCTTGCCTGACAACCACTTCCGAACCTACCGACGATATGCCGTAGTCGTCGATGTAAATGTCGAGTATGATCGAGCGTGGTATGTCGATCGGGTCGAACACTGGTATGACGTATATGCGTACGAATGTTGTTGCCATCGAACATCCGGCTACGACGCCGTTTACTGAATAGAGCGGGCCAGTTGAGATCGACGCGATGGTGATGAAGCGAGCTCCTCGATACGCTGCGATACATACTCGAGATATCTGTTCTGGAAATTCAAGAAGCGCTGCACGCTCTTCTAATAGATCTAGCCGCATGCCTTCGTAGAACTTCAACAAATCCCACCAAACAGTTGCTGCAACCTGTCCTGTGCGCACTCCAAGTTCACTGCGAAGACTTTGTCTCCATACTACGTCACTCGCGCCGTTGAAGGACGACGCAGCAAGATAAGGACGACTATGACGACGTTCCCAATCCGAAGCTATTGATCTCCTGGCCCTCCCCCATAGTCTATAGCAACTGCTGAAGAGCCCAATGGGCCGATACCCTCCAGCGGGCTTGGAAAGAAGTGCAAGCTGAAGAACACTCATATGGTGGGGTAGGACTCCAGTACTCTCGATGATGGAGAACATAATGCTGAGACACTCCAGGCATCCGTCTGAAAGGCTGGCAAAATGCCTCATCGCAAAGCCGTCTATGCTGACGGCAGAGTGCGGAGAATATGACTGGCTGATTTTCCGAAAATCATCCGGGCGGAGGCGAGGTAAGGGATCCAAAAACTTGACACGAGAAGGTCGAGGATCAGGCTCATTCTCCGCACACCATAGTGTAGAGAACCTTGCCGCCTCCGTCTCAAGAAGGGAGAGAGGATCTGAAACAATGTGTCCGTGTCGCGAGTGTGTCGTGGTGGCCTTCCAAGGCTTGCACTCCCGCGTCCACTTGTGAGCCCTCCTCCCTCCCTTTGAAATACCATCAAGAAGCCAACCTCGCCATTCCTGGAAACACCTGTGCCGTACTGTGTCGGCAAACTTGTTAAGCGCCTGCTCAATCTCATCGAGGATGTACGTGCCCTCATCGAGGTCCGAGATTTCGCCAATGGAGAAGCCCTGGACGAATGTGAAAGCCATGACGTAGACCTCTTCACAAGATGAGAGATGCCCTGCAACCCGAGAGGGAGGATCCAGAATGCAAGCCCCATGGATCCCAATCGTATGCTTTTCGTAGATGTCGGATCAACAAGCACGGAACTCCCGGGACAGCCACCAGAAGGCATACAAGTCGGGGCTATGCTCCTTCGACTCCTTGGTATCCAGCTCAGCCGTCGACACCCAAATGAGACGAAGAATCATGCCACGAGCACCATATCTAGATAGTAGGGTGTGTCGGCTGAGTGCAACCTCCTGCTCTGCGAGGTTGGCAAACTGCGCGTACAAAGTGTTCAAATGCCTCTGGAGGTCTGACCTGCGAGCCTGCTCAGCAACAACTAACCGAAGACCGTGATGAGCACAATCTAAAGCAACTGCAGGGCTCGGGGGTTCTCTTCCAGGACCGATTGGAACTTCCACTGGTAGCTTCGGGGGCTTTGCGAAGCTCAGGGCCATGAGGTCTGCGGGGCGTTCATGGAGGACCATGCTAACAGGACTTTGAGTTTTGACGCACGAATCCGTTACGACATAAACCGACTTGACACACTTAGAGATCCCAGGAGAGACAATAAAATAATCATACTTACTGCCGGCAACACCAGGGCCTCCAGAATGGCAAGTGTTATCTTCAGTGCATACAATGTCCGAGGAGACCTTCTCAAAGAAAACGCTGTCTCTGAGAACTTCCGGGGCGACGTTGACGTCGCCTCCGACAACAAATGCACCTGAAAATGTCGAGATTGCACTTCCTATGGATGCAAGAATTGACCGATTACGCTGAGTGAGGCCTTCAACGTCGTGAAAGTAAGTGGAAATTACTAAAGTTGGCACTCCTCCTGGCACGTGAACCACACCAGAAAGAGCTCTCCCGTCAACAATACGATGTCCAAAATCAGGAG